CGATAAAATCGGGGGTCGTGTCAAGCACCAGGCAACGTTCTACAGCCTCCGACGGCCCACCACGTCGGTGATCAAGTCGGCGTCAGAGATGGTTGACTTACTGAACACTAAAATGCCGAACGTGAAACTAATCCACCTCCCGAAAGCTGACGTCAAAGCGTTCAGGGACATGAAAGCAAAGGAGTGGGATTCTGTTTCCGTCGTGCGTGGAATTCAGTCCTGCCACTTGTGGCAGTGTACGCGGTCCGACACTTCGCTCCCACAGCTGTTTTTGCAAGAACAGTAGACGCAGGAAAGATACATCTTTGAAAGTAAAGTCTCCTATGGCTGCGAAAAGCAGATCGAGGTCGCGAGCTTGCGGTGCCACTCAGAAGAAACGAACAGCGATCGCTACAAACAAAATGGGAAAAAAATGTTCCTCCTCGAAGTGCCAGGAGAGCGCCGACTCAAGTCAGCGTCCGGCAGAAAGAATGCACGCGACAAGCGCCGAGTGAGTGCACAGGATCTTGATTCATTAAACTCGTTTCAATTTTACCACTTTAAACATATGTTCTTTCTTAACACTATTTAAACCTGGTCGTCAGCAGCCCAGCCTCCCTACGAAGGGTAGGCTCCGAAATTCACGGATCAGAGAAATCTGTATATAAATTGTTGACTTGTGCTTCAAACTCCTCTGTAATCTTTTGTGTCACTTTGTACTTTTCAGGAACTCCTGTCACAGCACTTTCTCTTCACAAACTTCCTAAATTTTTCGATCCCTTTCTTGCCCTTGTTTAAAATCGGCAACGTCCTACCTTTCTCTAACCCCATTACGGCAATTCTGTATATTTAGAGCTCTGTAAAAAAAATAAAAAAAATAAAATTCCAAAGCATTTTTGAAGGGCCTGATAGGCCAGATTATGAGCCTTGACCTGTGAAAAGTAGAAGAAAAATTAAGATAACCTTATTTTTAAACTGATTTTTCAATTATTGCAGAATCCGTAACCTGGTCCACATTTCAGTGGATTATTTTTAAGGTTATCGTTTTCAATTTTAGTGACACTTTAGTCGAATGTGGAGCAAACGCGTCCAAATCTTGTTATAAATTTTCAATTTCCGGTCTTTTATTATCCGGATTCAGAAAGCTCCGAATTGCTTCGTAATCGAAAATGAATGTTTACCTCCTTTTATTTTATGTACAATCTCTCCACAAAAAACGATTAAACCTAAGACGACAACAGTTTTTTATTTTATAAATATCCTGAAGGACGGTTTCACGCAAGTCGCAAAAACGTGCGCGTACACTGACAGCGACTTTGTTAATTTTGTTCCTCGAGAGAAATTTTATTTTCCGTAAAAAAAGTTCGAATATTTTTGTGCGCTTTCACAACAAATAAAATATATGTTTCGGTAAAAAAAAAAAAAAAAAATGTCGACCGCACGTGGTCGTTTGATCCTTTCTGAAAACGCCCCAATACCGACAATCTCAGTCAATCAGAATTCTTTTTATTTCATTTTTTAAGTATCTTTATTTTCTACCCGTTGTGTGGCCCTCCACGGCGGCGGACCTATTGGAGCTCACAGGCGGCGCAGGTTGAGGTTCTGCCGTGCCCTACCTCCTGTATCATATTACCGCCCAGGTTATAGGCTGATACGTTTGCAAAGCCGCTCCGGTTGCTTCCTTTACGTCGCGTAGACGGAGACGCTATACGACGGCCGTTGAAACAGGCACCGCGAAGCATGTTGCAGGGTGGCGCGCCACGATCGCTCCGGCCCATGGGCATTTTGGGGCCGGTTGTACGAAAATGTATTAGGAATTTTCCCTTCAAACCTACCATCCACCTCTGTGCTGTCGATTTGTCTTTTCCTGACCACCACGTAGCATTTTTACGCTTTTTAATAATAATAAAATTGTGAAAAATGGGTATGTGCACGCCCCATTTACGGCAACAGCGTTAGCGTCAATTTGGCCATATTTCTCGCTTTATATTTTTAAAGCCACACAAATCTTGCATTATGTTTTTGCAGATTTTGTTAGTGCATATTATAAGTGTTCATTTTGGAAAGTTTAAAGAAAATTAAAGATGGCCTTTCTTTTAAAATGATTTTCAAAATAATGCATTTTAGTTAAATGCCTTTGTGTGAGCAATTCTAGTAAATTTTTCCCGCTAACAAGGACAAGAATATTTCATGCCAGATGAACTATATACAGGGCAACACACTTGGATACTTTTAAGACCTTAGCGTTTATAGATATGGAGAAAATAAATCGTTAATCCAGACCGTTATTACGCAATGGGCCGTGTTTGCATTTTTTTTGTCAAAATACCAACTCTAATACTTGGTGATTAATAATTTTTATCAATACGTCGTGTGCCTTATTTGTCAGTACATATTCCTAGACTTAGCTACGCTTTGTCTCATCCTACGATGGACTAAAGGCCAAAGCTACGGGCCGCCGGGTCCAATCACGTTCCACACTAAGCTATGACATGCTTAGTGTTGATTAGGGGTGGACGAATAATGCCCCTAACCCAAAAGCATTGCATCATTTCAATAGCTTAGACACTGCAAGTGCATCTATGTTGTGGCTTTCTTTGCAGTGTAAAACTGTTGAGTCACACAGTGCTATTTGGTTTGAAGCACTGTCCGCCAATCCCCATCAGTGATCCGAGACGCGGGCACCGATACGTTTATCGAAGCGAAATACCCACAATTTCTAAACGGCTTGTGATGGGATCTGGCGGTCCATGGCTTTGGCCTTTAGTCCATCGTAGGAGACGAGGCAAAGTATAGAACGTTTTTTTTTGGGGGGAAGCCGCCCAAAATGTCAACATCGCGTGACACGCAAAACGCGCAGTTGACTGAGAGGGTGCTCACAATTTTTTTTTTCGCAAAGAAAAAAAAAGTTAAACAAGCATTAGTTTTATTTTTCAGGTCATGACGTTAACCAAATATATTTTTTCATCAAAATAAAAACGAATGTTCACCTCACATGGTTCTTCGATCTTATCTGAAAACGCCCTGTAGAAGAAAATCGGCACCTAAGTTTCAATTCCCAATTAAACACAAAGAAATATTCGGCAGAGACTCTTAGGTCTGCTTACGTGTAGGATTGCTGCTACACGCAGCGCATTCCTACAAGAAGCGCGTCAATTCCCTTCGCGCACTGCTCTCCGGCGGTGACACCACCCTTCTCCACTGCGCATGCGCGGTAAACCCTGCCGGCTTCACAATGGCTTCCGTGACAAACCATTGCGTTGCTGCGCGTTTCTTTATGTTTTATTTCTGAAGCGCGTCCGCTTGGACCTTGACCGCACTCTCCGACTTTCGTGACGAGGCATCTGCGTTGCTGTGATTTTCTTTTTGTTTTATTGGGAATGGGAATTCAGGTGCCGCTTTTCTGCTACAGACGGTTACAGACAACGCCGGCTTCGCTCCAAGGCACAGTTACTCTTTTCGAATTAAAAGCACAGCAGCGCAGATGCCTCGTCACGGAAGCCGGCGGGTGCGCTCAACATCAAAACGGACGCGCTTCAGAAATAAAACACAAAGAAAAGCACAGCAACGCAATGCTTCGTCACGGAAGTGGTCGTGAAGCTGGTAGGGTTCGCCGCGCCTCCACAGTGTGGAAGCGTGATGTCACCGTCGTAGCACCGTGTGCGATACGAAGACGTGCTGCGTCTTCCCGCCCCGCGTGTAGATGCCCCGCGTGTATGAATGCGAAAGCATTCCTACACGTAAGCAGTCTTAGTTGTCTCTGCACATTCATTTTCTTGTTTTGTTTCGGTTCGTCACCAATTCAAACGATTAGCAGTTTATAAAAATTTATCGCGCATTAATGCATCAATCGATTAATCGGAAGGTTCATCGATCAATCGCCCAACTCTAGTTAAAAACGAACGCGCTCAACTCTCTCGCGCCGAGGTCAAAAACGCGCTCCCGATGTGGAAAAGAGCGAGGACCCTTCTAAGCATGCTTTTCCCATGCGCCGCCGTCAAGTCTAATTCAGTGCCCCTTCACCCCCGTGATCGTCCCCCAATCACAACCGTGACGGCAATCCCCAGCGAGAACCTTCCTTTAAGGCTGGCGCATCTAAACTTACGTTATGTCAAGCTCCGCGCATACACGTGGTATAGAGCGGGCAAATGCAAGCTTATTCGTCTCACCAAAAGAAAAAAAAAAAGGAACTGATGCGTTTTGCTTTGAAATTTCAACAGATTCATTTTCTAGCAAATGAATTCACAATATGAACACACAGTCACTCGATGTCATTCCACACTCTGATATCACGGAGTCACTCAACATTACAAATGCAGAGTCATATCACGGAATCATTGAATATCATCTCACGAACTCGGAGTAATATCACGCAGTCACCCAGTATCATCTACCCGAGCTTGGCCCTATCACAGCACTCAATATCATCTCACGAGCTCAGTCATGTGACGGAGTAACTCAATATAATCTCACAATATCAGAGTAATTCAATCACTCAGTCAAACACTGGAGGCGACATCAAACGCAATGCTGCTAAAAACAGCTGGACTGGGTGCGGGGTAGTCATAACACGGAGTCACGCAAATTCACTCACACACATGTGGTGAGGCTGAGTGAGTTTGATTGACTGAGTTGGTGAGGGGGTTTACCGAGGTATGACACATTCATGACTTTTGTGCGGCCCAGCTTCTCCAGTACCAATCAGACACCATTTGCCTTTTTAGATGGTGCGTTTAATTGTGAGCCGAGTGCTGTAAGATGGCGAAGCTCTAATTATTAACAAGTGGTTTTGATATATCTGATTATGAGCTAGAAGTTTTGTTCTTGCGAAATTTTATCGATTGGCGCAACGCGTGCTAGTGTAGACGTGGACGTCTCGCAGAGAGAGAAAGTCTAACTCCGCATAGCATCCCAGTGAACGAGATACACTTTTACATTCCTATCGATTTATTTTGTTATAGCTTAACTGTACTGAAATTCAGAAGCATCTTCTGACGGGCGATTGCACAGAAACAGTATGTTTAACTGTTCTGTCGTTTATTCGTCTTTCTGCACTTGAGTAATACAAAGGCCCGGTTTCTCGGTTTTGGTATAAGACTTGATATAGAAGTTGATGAAGAGCCCGAAAACCACGAAAGATTGTGGAAGGGCGAGTAACACGAGTGCCTTGGGGTATCCACAGTCGTACACGAGAGGAATGCACGCATGTAGGGTGAGGAAGGCGATCTGGAAGATCTGCAGCCTGGTGAGGTACCTCTTCCACCAAAGGTACTTTTGAATTCTAGGCCCAAGTGCGGAGAGGAAGTAGTAACCGTACATAACGACGTGGACGAGGGAGTTTAAACATAGCACCATGATCAGCTGACCGCCGCCTCCGAAGTTCAGGTAGACCCAGCCGTTGATCACGACCAGAAAGTGGTGCACGACGTGCAAGTACGTAACATGGGAAAACTTCTTCGTCGCGACGAAGAATACAGTGTCCATGAGGTCTGCGATCCGCACGAAAAGGTACCACCAGGAAATTTCCAGGACGCGTATTTCATTCTGATCAGTTGGGGAGTAGTGAGTTCCTTGGCAGAACACGCTGTAGTTTCCACCCATGTAGGTGTGGCGCATATACTGCACGAAGAAGAAGGCGTTTGAAATCACCTGGAAGAGGTTGTACACCATGATGACCGACTTGAGGTTGTAGGGCTTGCGGTTCGTCATCCATCTTGGACCGGCTATCTTCACCAGGTAGAGGTAGCCTAGACACACTGAGAAGATATACTTCGGGTCCGATGTGAAGCTCCAGCCGAATGTTCTGGGATCCCGCAAAGACTCCAGGTAGGCGCATTTCTCGCTCACTTCGGCGAACAATCTAGATACTGCCGTGGACGCCATAGCGGTACGTCAGTCTGTCTCCTGTTGTTTTCAAACACTTCACAGTATGCTCGACCTTGCAGTGGGTCTACGCGGCTTCTCCCAAGACATGAAATGACCGTTGGCAGATCGCCAGTGCTTTTAAATCAACTCCTCTCTCTCTCAGCTACCTCTCAGTAAGAAAACAGACATGTCAAATGGCGCTTTGGGATGACCCTTAGCGTCCTTGACCGGAAGAACGAAGGGGGTAAACAACAATTACATAGTAAAAACGCGACGAACCTTTTAGGCGCGGAAAACCAACGGAGCGTAGAGTACATAGTTAATTTTGAAACACGGTAGGTGTTTGTCCGCTTTCTCCCTCTCATTCGTGCACTCAGACGACATTTCCTACGATATCAACACAATCTCATTTTTTTTTTCAACGCCAGCTGCCTGAACAGTACAGATGCTTTTCTGCAGCTGTGTACGAGGCAGACATAAGTGACCTTCACGTGGAGTTCTCTTTCATTCCGATTGCCTTATTTGTTGTTGTGGGGACACAACTCGTTTTTGGACATTCTAGGCGTCAAAACATTTTTGTCCCCAACAAAAAATTTTTCATTCGACCGTTTTTTATTGTTCCTTTTTTTTTACAACAAACTTACGTTCACCATTCATTGTATAGCTCTGGCTCACTCCCCGTATGAGTATATGTCTTTGTGTCTGATGTGTCATTTTATAAAGGGAAGTTAAAAACAAATCGGAATATTTTAAATGCGACTGCTTCTCCGAGACAGCTCTATGATTTCATTACTCAAATTCTGCCAAAACCTGCAGTGTAGTTTGGTACCATAAGGACTCTTGGTATATTTCTAGACAGGATCCAATAGGTTTCAAATCACGCAAGGAAGAGCTAATAAACTTATAATTTCTCTTGTCTATGGTTTGGTGTCTATTCAAGAAAAGAGAAGGTCAGTTTTAATGGCAGAAATTATTATTCGCGCTACCAGCGTCTAGACACATTGAATATCTGTATATGAACCAATTTTGAATGGAGTATCGCAGTAGATCCTCATCATAATTCGAGAAACCGTCCCTTTTGCCTGAACAACGGTGGCATGTGGGGACACATTTTACATAATAAATTCATAGTGATGAATTTCCAGTGCCACGTTGAGAAGGCTGACGAGGGGCACAACTAGACAAAAATGCTCTGTCAGATTTCCTCTGAAGCTCGTGTTCAATGTGAGTCTTACACTCTAAAATCGACTTGTCCGTTAAACACTAAAATAAGCCTTCATGAATGGAAATTCTCGTGTGCTGGTTCGGGAGGTCCATCACAATTACATATATTGCTTGACAATGATCAGAGCGCATATATTTCCTGAAGATCAATAGAAATTAGTGGGTTATCTGATGATAACAAAGAGTCGAGGGATGTTGGAGCAAACGAATCCAACCTCTCTATTGTTTTAAAACTCAATGGCTTCCTAAAACAATTAATTGTGATGTACTCTGGTTTCTTTATTTGTAACACCTATACAGTACTGCTGTTTTTGTATATAGCACTGTACCATATTGATTCTGTCACGTGATAGTGTGCAACACATCTCTCCAAATTGATGTTTGCTCATTTAACATTTACTTCACCAGAATGCGCAAAAACATATATATTTTACATTGGTAATAAAGCTTGAGAGTAGTATTCTGAATACTTTTAAACTAGAATATGCTCATGGGCCGGATTTCACGCGAAAAGTGTTCAGCTCGAGTGTGCGGAAAAAGCGTTGCACACAGGCGAAAGCAACATAATGCATAGACAGTCCATAAAAAGCAATGCATAGGCATAAAAAAGAAGACAGTCTTAGTCATAATTAATCATAAGCATTCATAATTTGGTGAAATTAATCGTAACGAGCAAGGTTTACCGGCAGGCTTGGTGGAAGACAAGCCCAAGATCGCGCGATCCGCAGCCAGACGCCTTTGCTTGACGCATTACTCGTGTGAGCGTCCGTCAACAGGCAGAATCGCGAACGCACAGACAACCCATTTGCGTATGCGTTCTTTCAGACGGGGGGCTTCCAAACCGGTCGAGGAGTTCGCGCTGCCTAATGAAAATGGTCGGAGGCGAACGTATTGTCCCAGAAAAGTATTTAAATTTCGCGTCAATCCATTTTCTGCTGAGCTAAGTCTTGACGTCATACGCCCGCTGCGTTATCGCTGGTATGTTATGACTGGCTCCGTGACATTGCGAGATCCCCTGAAGAGGTACGCTTCGACATTCAGGAGCGAGCGGCGCGCGCCAACGTTCACCTCTCGGCTAGTCGGCTAGACTATGAATGATTCGCTCGCGACGGTCGCTGCTACAAAATATATGCTGGCCTAAGTATAGGAGTCGCCGCCGACGATTTTATGCGGACTTTGTATGCTGAACTAAGTATGACTTGCCGCCAACTTTTGCTAGTAGACTACACTTGCTGGACTAAGGATGAGTCGCCGTCGAGGTATACCTCTGCGGATTCATATGACTCGCCGCTGACGGTCGTTGGTGATCTAAATATTGCTGGACTAAGGATAACTTGCCGCCGATAGTTGCCCATGGACTATGCATGTTGCACAAAGTACGACACACCACCGACGGTCGCTTGCATACTAAGTATGCTGGGCTAAGTAAGCCGCGCCGCCAACGGCCATCTGCGGACTTACTGTGCTAGACTAAAGGGCGATTCACAGACTTGAGTTGAGTACGACCGATAGCGAGGGTTGCTACGGCAACAGCTGCGTCGGCTCCAACAAAACAAAGTAAAAAACTTATTTTTTTCGAGCCGACGCAGTTGTTGTTCTAGCAACCCTCGCCCTCGGTTGGGCTCAACGCAAGTGTGTGAATCACCCTTAAGTAAGACTTTGCGCCGACGGTCGCCTGCGGACTAAGTACGCTGGGCTCAGTATTGCTCACCTCCGATGGCTCCCTGGGCATACGTAGGCTGGTTTAAGTATGCTGACGGACATGTATTACTCGCCGCGAACAATAGCGTGCTGTCGCAGGCGACCGTCGGCCAGAAGCCATATTAGACCAGCCGCGTGCGCTCTCCGTCAACACCTCCTCGTTGCAACGAGCAGAGACATCGGATCGCGGATCGCATGGTCCCGCCTCTGATTCCCGCTGAGCCTCTTGGTGAATGTTTATGTTTTGGATTCATTTTGCCTAGTTATTATTTTGTGACTAAGTATACCTTCGATATGACTCGGATGACTATGCTTTGCCTGCTATGGGGTGTTTTAAGATAAGTTCGGCCGCCCGTGTCCGGTGTCCATTTTTGATTTTTACGAAAAAAAGAATTGTAGACTCGCCTGTCTTTGTACCCTTTCTTATGTAGACTAAATGGCCGTCAGAACTCAACCAAAATCTGTCTTGCGACAAGAAAGTGTGTCCTTAAGGGAAAAACAAAAGTAGCACACTCTCACTGCAAAGCGCAAACCGCGAATTGCGCGAAGTTGGCATTTCGGGCACCACTCTCCTAAAAGCTGCCATGGCTACGAGTCTCGAATTATTTATGCAAAAACTACGTACACAGAGGATTGACTCAAAGTATTGATCGTTTGGTATCGACAATGTTAATTTCCACAGAAAAATCGCAAACACGGCAGATTCCGTAGTAATGCTTGCATTCGTTTGCTCCGCTTCTACAAATACCAGAACTTTTAACCTAGGCGAGCGTGTTGTCCTGTACTTTTTTTATATTAACGCTAAATATGTTTGTCCTGAGTATCGGAACAAATGTATGAGAAATGCTTAAACGGGGTCATTTTAATAATTCGGAGTTATTTTTAAACTCAATTTAAAAGAATGCCATCTTCAATATTTTTTAACTCTCCCACATCAAGGCCAATGATAGGTACTAACAGAATCTGCAAAAACAGGTCGCATTATTTTTGAGTATTTTAACATTTGTTTCTGAGCTAAGAATCAAACCAGTTTAAACTTTAAAGCGAGCGGATGCATGCGATGCTTGGCGGTTGCTTGCTGTGCCCGCAGTTTGCCCTCAGTTTTTGCTTCTCTAGATTTAATTAAAGCTACTAGATTCGATGACAACTACCCCCCCCCCCCCCCCCCCCCACCACCGGTCATCAGAGTACCCTTGCTCGGTTGTGGGTTGCGCGAAAGACCACCTAAAAGCGTAAAATGATATCTTTGAACCTCTGTACCTTGCAGGGAATCCGGCGAGGTGAGTGTGGCTGCAATGTTTTTATCGCGTCCCTCATGACCAGAGCCTCCGACGGCCCTGGGCTGCTTCAAAAAACAAAAAATACTTCAGCCTTTTGACAAATTCTCGAATATGTTTGCAACAGCTCGTGGCTGGAGCGCGCTCCGACTTCGGTGCTCTACCGTCGTTCAACATGGGTTACGATCGCGAGGTAACTACGAATTCTTCGAGATTCGCTGTTTCAGTTTGTAAAGTTTATCTTGGTATTCTTTGCAGGTCGAAAAATCCCGCGACGACGTTTGCAAAAAGCAACGTGCCGACGCTAAGGATGAGCATTATTTGCGACTCATAAAGGGCTGTTTGGTTACTGAAGAATCATTCCCTTTAGCAAGGTTCGGTTTCCTTACCGATTTCCCAAAATCGCGATCTCCAGTGCAACAGCAGAAAACCGTTAAATTATTCTAATCGTCACAATTTAACTGCATGTTTGTTATTTTTCAGATGATTGCACAACGTAAGTGGTAATAAGCATGTACTTCGAATGACGCAAAGGTTAAACCACTGATTCAGCCACGCTTGAAATCGGTCGATTTTGACGCTGCTGTATACCGTTTTGACAAGAAATATCACCCGTGGATACGGGGTCCTCGAATAAATATTTTTTTCCTATAAACAACGGTCTATAGCAGGCCGAAACTGTATAGAATAATTTCCGCGATGCTCTTATTTTGCGCGCCTTTGTTTTCTCGTTGTGGTGAACACGAAACGACAAGAACTTTCTCGGTGTACTGCACCTACAACCACAAGAAAAGCTCAATGGAACCGAATATTTACTAGCTGTTAACTGATGGAACAGTCTTGAGTAATCACCTCCAATTTCAATCGTGGCGCGTTCACAGCCGCCGCCTGCG